TGACAAGAGACAAGAATGAAGATTAATAGCAGCTCGGCTTAACAATTAGACTAAAACGCAGTGTCGTCCATCACTATCTGGCGTTTTGCTTCCCGGCCTGTGCAGATACCCAACGGCGTGACGGCTCAATCTGGGAGCTGGCGTTCAGTCCCACCTCACAGCAATTCTAGTGTTTTCACGACTTCTCTAGTCCTGCCAGCCAACCGATATAACAGTTACATAGTATTTTTCTGAAGAGACTTCGTACTGCAATGATAACTTCGATGGACAAGAGACTTCTCTTGTTTCGGGTTTCTAGAATATTACATTGCACCTCCTTAAAACATTTTGTTGAGTACATATAAAGTACAGTAATTTAAAGTTGTCGCTTGGCCTAATCATCACGCAACGAAAGCTTATAGGTGGCATGAAAGCAACTATTCCTTATTACGAGTACTATCCTCCGCTCAATTTGATATAGAACACGTAAACGAAAAAGAAAATCCGTACAAAAGTATAAAAGAAACAAACAAGGTTGCAATTTTCTAAAAAATATAAAGAATAAACCAACAATAAATATACTTATAGTTTAGCGGCCTCCGTAGTCTAGAGGTAACGTTCCCACCTCATGACTCGTAGTACGCGGGTTCAAATACCCGGCGGAGGTCGTCGAATTTTTAAGGGCGGAAAAATTCAGGGAACAAGTCCTCCGGGAGGGACTTTAAGCCATGGGTCCCGTGTCGTAGCTTTACGGCACGTAAAAGAACCTCATACCTCCAAAGGAGGTGACTAGCCAAGATTGCGGACGTTTCCTGCCCAACAGCAGTCACTAATACCACCGGTAGATGGGGGAAGCATTATAGATACCTCTCAGCCAGTAGAGCCGGTCTCGCTGGCTGGGCGGGACTGATGGTAAGCACCAATATAGGTAGGATATAGAGACTGGTAGAAATCATAGAGGGAAGCACAATGGACCACTATAGGTCTAAGTGCATGGGGAAACCCACCCTCTCTAATAACTAACTAACTAACTAACTAACTAACTAACTACTTATAATAGCAAAAGCAGAAAAGGAATTACTAGTCATACTAACACCAGATGAATACAAACAAAAGATACAAAATTAAATACAACAAACTAGTTTATAAACGTCATAACAATCAAACTCGACAGTACCAAAAAAAATTAATAACAATAGCATAATCATGTAGTAACATTATAGCAAAAGAAAACAAACTGAAATGCACAAACATGAATACAGCAGCACCAAATCTACACGACACGATAAAACTACATACACATAACATACACACTGGATCAATGTGTGTCCCGATATAGGAAATAGCAAAATATTTAAAACGAGCACTACAACAAACATTCACAACTACTCCCACCTAATCACAGATATCCCACCCCCCCAATGTTCTTTTGATATTACAAACTTGTGTACAAATATACCACATATAGGTACTACGGATATGCTACACAATATACCGATCAGCAACGCAGACATTAATAAAACACGCGAAAAGGTATATTACGTACCTTACAAATAACCCTATAACAAAATTATTTCCATTGAGACCGAAAGTGTTTTAAACAAACCAACGGACCACATATAGGCACCCCTGCATCATCTGTATCCGCTGAAACATATTTATAGCGTATGTAACACACAAATATATGCACTAATAGTAAAATATCAAAATAACACGATACTTCAGATATGCCGATGGCATCCTTACCACATAAGGCCAAAACAGACACAGACAAAACCGCAAATGATTCAATGAAGTACAAATACACTAGAAGTAAGAAACCCAAAACAATTTCCTTGCTATTTCAATACACCTAAAAACAACAAACTGAACTTCTCAATATACCGAAAACCAACACGGACAGATATAATAATCCACCACAATTCCTGCCACCAATTTGGAAATATCAAATTCTCTGTCTCCGGAGATAGGGACTAAGCTCTATCGTCTGGGCCCAGCGGAGTAGGTTCTGCCTGAAGACGGAAACATAATCCAGTCTCCGAAATGTTGTGTCTTTAAATAAAACCGGGACGGCATTTTAGATAAAAACAGGACGATGGATAATGTCCAGCAACTTGTAATTGTGCTGATGCACCAACTTCACAATCTTTTCGTTCATGTTAGGAGTAGCTTGTTTTATTCCTCAGAATGATTCTACTAGTATTTGAAGGTATTCTCCGATATATTTACAGTAGCTTATCTCATCCTTCCGAATGAGTTGAGTTAGTTGAAATATTTGAGTATACATCCACAATCAACGCAAAATCGCCGTATAATTCGGTATTCATTTTCGGAATATTCCCAGTAACATGGAAGTCAGATTTGTCGAAAAGTGAACATCAGTTTATAGCCTACTTTCCTAAAGTCTGCTTATACGATCTCCATGCTGTCTGTGTGTTTGTGTATCTGTGAATCCCCCCCCCCCCCATCAGTTTGTATGTCTGTATGTGTACCCCACTCATCGTTGCTAGGCAAAGGCTCGGTAAAGTGCATCCCTCCTTTCGTTGCTAGGTAACGGCTCGGCAAACACGTTCGCGCGGCAATGAATAAGTACAGAATTAGAATAATTGTTGGACAAGTGTCTGTGGGTCTGTCAGTGTAGCCCATATCGTCGCTAGGTAACAACTCGGCAAAGACGTTCCCGCTGCAACAATGAATTTTTGGGGGCGTCGTTTTCTATGTTGTCCATGTAGTATCAAAAGAAAGCAGACAATCAGTTCTTCCCAGAACTTCTTGTTTTAATGATGCAATGATATTACTGGGGCATATTACTGGGACATTGAAGGTTCGAGTGCCTGTAAGGACGACGGAAGAAAGTTTCAGCAACTCCAAAGTGGGGCTGAATGCCGACCCACAGTAATAATATTTTGATATCTAGTCATTCGCATAATCTTTATGCCAACAATCTTATTTATTTTTTACGGTAATGAAAGGCTTTGTCCTGTATATATGAGGGAATCGTTATATTCCTAAATTTAAAATTCCCGAAATGATTTTTTTTTTACAAATTTCACTCAAATAATCTCGCCCTCTTTCTGAGGAAATATTTATTCGGTCACGCTTCACTCAATCGTCATTGCAATCGAAACCAAGGACCTTAATGAAAATAAGAAAAATTAAAAATAAATGGAGTGATAATAAGATGGCTTGAAGGCCAGGGTTAGATTCCCAGCAGGGACAGTACCATTTGTCTTTGCCACCGAACCTGGGGGACATCCATCCTTCTAACTACCTGCTACTTCTGCCGGAGCTTACGCCAGAAAGTTGACCACTCTCACAGCACCGCGGTTAAGAATGCGTGGAATTTTACTTATAACATTCTGCCAGTCTTCTACGGCTGTTGGGCTGGCACATGAAGGGCGATAGCTTTTTAGGGAAGTGAACGGTGATTAGAATATATGCAGGATAAGATACAATGACAAGATAAACACATTACTGAAAGGAGAAAATATAGTAAGATTTATCAAGACACAGAGAAAAAGATGGTTGGGCATATCTAAAGAATAGAAGATAATTCAATGCCAAAGAGAATGTTAAAAGGAAGGCTATGTTCCAAAAGAAGGAAAGCAAAACCCAGGATGAGATGGCCAGACGATGTTGAGAACGACCTGAAGAAGATGAAGGTGAAAGGATGGATAGAGAAGATGAGGAATAGAGAGGAGTGGAGACTGGTTTTAGAGGAGGCCAAGGCTCACCCAGGGCTGCAGCGCCGAGTTGTTGGTAGAAATGGTGATTAGCATGAGGCCTAAATGTAAGAGACCAGTTCTAGGCGCCATTAGTGGATGTACTTATTCACATTCGGAAACCTGGACTGCAAGTCGAAAACTCCCTTCTTTAATGGATGCTCTGTCATTAGTTACAATTACATTTCTACTATTAATCGGTTTAGTTAATTGATTAATAATTTAGCATCTGAGAGATTCAGAGAGATGACATAAAGAATTCATGCTAAGAAAGCAGTTACTAACTAATGGAGATTTCTACCAAGGTTGATAATTGTTTGACTAGTCTAGAAAATTCCCATCTTCTATGGAACGGAAGGTACACTACAGTGTCCACAACAGCCCATTTTTCAACAGTATCCTTAGCCATATGAATTTATTCGATATATTTGCATAATGTTTCTTTAGAATCCGTTTTAATATTATCCTTCCACATACTCCTAAATCTTCCAAATGGACTCTTTAATTCCACAATTTTTTTTTGCATTTCTAGTCCACCCCACAAATGCCTCATCGTCCTCTTTCAATTAATCGCCCTAACAATATTTCACACGTAAATCAATCCGAAATTAAAAATAATACTTCTGGTAGAGTATGTAATTTACTTAGAGTGTTGTACATTTATTAAATATTATTGTATTTAATATTCTGTTAATATCTCATATAAAATTATATGAAATTGAAATAACAACTAATTACTATGCCAGACAGACGCGCCAGTTAAGGCCTGATAGGAAGAATGCAATGTTCTTCAGCGTTAGAGGACAGCGCAGACAATGTCATAGCTCAGGCGGGTACTCGCCGGCTTCCCACCGCGGCTGCCCGTGTTCGAGTCCATTTCAGGTCATTCATCACCATCTATTATCTGGGACTGGTACAATAGACCAATTAGTGGCTGAGGTACCAAGTGGACCCAGTCTCACCCCACCCCAAGAAACTAAAAAAACCAAAAGCTAGAATGGAGAGCGAGGGTCCGCTAGGATCCAGTCCAGTTCTTATTGCGAATATGATTGGGGACAAGAGATGGGCTGAGGCTGCCAAGACGGATTAAGGGCTCTGCTTTCTGTGCCCTTTTGCTCCCGCTTACTGTGCTCCTAGTAAATGTACACCGGACCCGCGCTGGCGCTCTGTTCCCCGGGATCCTGTTGCTGGAGGCTGCGGGGAGGGAGAGATGACGTCATGGGAGAGTGGTGCGGCGTCGCTAGAGTGTCGGCATGGTGGTGGGCCTGATTTGACCGGCCACGTTACAGTAGTAAGCTAGATACTGCGTGAACACATCACGTCAGAATTTAGAGGGATGCTGTTGCTCCTTCGACATCATGCTCGAGATGCGTCCAGTCGCCGCTAGAGGCGTCGTCATGGCCACCGCGACGCTTGTGCTACTACTCCTCTTACCCATGACCGGAGCCACAGCCGATAAGATCCCGCTTGGTGAGTCCGCCATAACATGTCTTATAGCGTACTATATTCGTGCAGTGGGACAGATCACACATGTATATGCTGCTTTTGGACAAAGAACTTGTTCCGACATGCTTCATTGTCAATTCTTATTCACATTTTTTTTTAACTTTTTATTAAATAATAGGGCACACCATTTTAAATTTTTATAAGCTTCTTTAGGGAATTTGGTGGTAAGTAGCCTAACCCCACTAATCTGCATATGTAAATATGAAGTGCTCAGTTTCTTATAAGTTCCGTCAACACGATTCCTACATAAATTGAATTCATTTATACTGCTTTTTCACTTCAGAGCCTGTTTCGGCCATTTTATTGCCACCATCATGTAATTATTTTACTTTTACACTCTTTTTTTCTGATATTTGCCCCTATAAAAGTATACATTTATGTAATTTATATAGGAATTATGTTGACGGAACCTATGATAAATAGTTCACCATAGTATGACGCTAAAATACAATATTAAGTCCTGAGGTTTCTGCAACAAGACGAAGGGGACTGCTTCATTTCTTTACTATTAACTCCGACTTCAGTAAGTTGTTGTAGAATTTAAATATGCTAAAGAATGGAAAATATTAATATGGATCATGTTTTGGGGCAATGACCTCGTGCGAAGGTGCGTTCTATTGTTTACATTTCGGAGATTCTTGCTGTCTCCAATTTGAAAGTAGAGAAAATATTAAGCTCATATCGCGATAGATTTCAAGGACATTTATTTGGTAATTTTATTAACTACATCAATGGCAGAACTTGCCAATATTTCGTATTAAATTAGTTCCATATGTCATTATATTATCAACGTTTATATATTCCTTTGTAGTTCCATAGGGCTATATTATTACATTGAAGTTTGATATTAAGTGCAAGATTTTGCATTGCCATCAAATTTATCAATTTTTTGTCTAAGTGAAAACGTGAAATGAGGAACAAACCTTCCGTAAATATATTGTATCTCGAGTTTTATGGTTCTCTGTGTGAAGACACCAAGGAAATTCCTAATATAAACGAACAAGAAAGCCTTAAATTTCCTCAGAACCTATAATTTTTCTTCCATAACTGAATTGAGTTCGCAAAAGGGAATTATCTCGAAGACACAAGCTTAGTATATGAGCATATTCGTCCTGATCTCGGTCTCTTACTATTACTTTCACATTTGTGTCGTAGTTTAAATATTTAAAACCTTTACTACACTATTATTATAATTATTTAAATAATGACGTGTTAAATTCAAGGTTATCAAATTGAGCCCTGAAAATCAGGAATTCGCCACTTATAAAACTGAATATAGACCCAAAGTTCGCGTTTCTACAGAGAGAATGTGAGGTATCCATATGTTGAAGTTGTAAAGCACGTGATTTTTAATGATACATGACGTTCATGATGGTGGAAAGAACACTTAGATGCTCTCTACTATTAGAAAGAAGCCCAATATGAAATTAATTAATATTTTAGTGACCACATTTTCTACGCTATGTAGACTTGTATTTTTACAGAAGCCGGAAATTTGTTAAGGCACCCGTTTATTTTGAAGAAGAATTCATACGATACATTTTAATTTAACAGTTTTTTTATTGCTAGTGGGGTGGGACTAAGTGCCTTGTACTGCGGCCACTTCTGGCCTATTGTACCAGCCCCAGATAGGTGAGGGTGATTGTGAAGCAATTGGTGGAATGAAGATTGGCAGGGGAAACCGAAGTACTCGGAGAAAAGCCGCCCCAGCGCCACTTTGTCCACATCAAATCCCACTTGACCAGACTCGGGATCGAACCAGGGCCGCCGCGGTGGGAAACCAGCGACTAACAGCTTGAGCTATGGCGCGGCTCCTAATTTAGCAGTAGATAAGGGTAAAAAGATTCATTTATTACTTCTAATTAAGCAGACCAATTGTTGCTCAACTGAAATGTAACCATTAGTAATCAGTTCACATTAATCAGAAGCATAGGTCACTCAGATATAAGCACTATACTGCCATATAATGTGTTAGAGTTACATAAGTTTTATGTTTTGCTTAATTTTATGGACCATTCTATATTTAGCGACGTTTCAGTTCATACCAATAAGACGTCAGCACTTGCTCTGAAATGCTTAGCTCCTGACTGTGGTGGGTAGCAGTACCTTCTGTTCAGGTCACCCTTCATACTGGTATAATACACATGACTAATCTCACTTACGTGTTTGTTAAACTAGATCAGAATATAAACTCACCTCAATTTTAACCCGTATCTGATAATAGTACTGAATCATTGAAATCCGAATTCCCAGTATTGACAGTTGCGGGGGCATTTAGCAAAGCGTTCATGCGGTTAACTATGCAGATGTTGTGGTTTCAAACTTAGGATTCTTTGAGCAGTACAGTAAGTACATCAGCCCGGAGCTACCAACACAATGTGAGAATAAAATATTTACATGGTGTATGTTGTGTTTTGGAACATTTCCTAGAAAATTAACAAAAATTCATACGTCGATAATACAGCAATTAGTTTGTCGACATTATTTGGATAGAACGATTGTCATGTTTCTTAAAAATATGCTAAATATAATTAAATAACAGGGGATAGAGAGAGATGCTTAATGAAGAGTAGACTTCGCCAAATAATATTATGGTGACGAAATCAGGAAGACGGTTGGGCAGACCATGTGGTACGCATGGGATCGAAGTTTAATGATTATAAAGCTTCAACCTGGAAATAAGAAAGGAAGAGACAATCCGGAAGATATAGTTTCTTACTGAACTACAGCATTAAGATGGGATAAAAATCAATAGGCTTGGAAACTTGGAAATGATTAGTCCTTCTCAGGATAGGGACGAACGGTGGAATTTTATAATGAATCTTCGGGTTTTATGCAAGAAAAATAATTTCTTGATAAGGTGATTAACTACTAGATTCTAAAGATGTACTCTGCCCCTTAGAGCTATGAATCTATATAAGAAATATATGTTACTGTAACAAGCGAATATAATTTTAGACCGAATACTCCGTACCCGACGAAATTTGAGGGAGGGCGAATACGATATTTGCAGGAAGACGAAAAGCATGTCCATTTCTGTAAATTATTCTAATTTGACGTTCCCTCGATTGATACAGTTTAACCTAGGAGTCAGCATGAGCGTAAATTGTTTCATTGTACACTATAAACGGCGCATCTTAATCAGGAATTTACTAATGTAGAGTCGTGCTCGCCTCATACCAGTATTTATGAGTAAGAACGCTAATTTACGTGATAAGTTGTCAGGAAGTTTACAGGATCTTGACTCCTGCATTTGGGCCGTAACAGAATAATTTACTCTGAGGAGCATATCTGTATTTGAGAAATATGTACTCTCTCAATTGGTCAAGGAATTCCTCATCCTTTACGGAACCCTAAATATTTATTGCCCTTTTCACAATAACCCACCAATGATCCCTGACCCAATCCGAGATGAGCCAAGTTCCCTTACTGATACACTGTTGCTTTAAGATTAATTTAATGATATCCCCAAATTTACGTCCATATCTCCCAAATGGTTTCTTGCATTCTGCTGAGCCCATTAAAATTTCTTCTGCATTTCTCGCTCCATACTCTGCCGCCCTTATTACGAATTTGACAGAAAGTGTTCATAATAACCAAGACTGGATGTTATGTTCTCATCAACGGAGTTTCGGAATTTTTAGAAAACTTATGCTCATTTTCTTTATCTTATATGTATTATGGGGCACGCGGTAGCGTAGTTGGTTGAGGCACTATGCTACAAGCCGCAAGTTCGCGGGTTTGATTCCCGATAAGGTAATTGCTTTTTTCAATTGGCCCTGGGGTCGACTCAGCGTCTAACAGAAATAAATACCAGGAATATTTCTAGGGGATAAAGGGCGGCCGGCGCGTAAAGCTGACAAATTTACCGCCATCTGTTAGTCGATTGTCTAGAAGATGTGAGATTCTCGACGTCTCACAAACATATGGGCCTCCAAGGCCTGTTACATGATATAAAAACATGTATTAAACTTTAAGCACCACCTACGTGACAACACTGTCTGACGACCTCATTAGCGCTAAGGATGGTAACGTTGCTTGAACATGGGCTTTACAGTGTTACATTTTATGAGAAGAGAACTGTGTGTATAATGCGGTCCGCCAGTAGGTACCTGCGGAACAATGAGGCTGTTCTGTGGTTTCAAGTTGGACGGTCTTGGTATAATTGTAGATACTACCACAGTATTAAGTGTAAGGGAAGAGATAAACCACAAAGTTCGCAGCTTTGGTAACCTGCAGCTCGACTGAGATTAAAATGAAGTTCCTCAAGACTTCAGGTACAGAACCTTGCCGCTACACTCAGCCGCTCTGTCATTTGCATACAACCTGTTGTAGGAGATATTTACACAACGCGGTGATAGAAACCTGTTCATGGAATGCCATGTCATCAGGGAATCTTGAACTTGATCCATCTTAGTGTATCTCTAAGTCCCCTCCCTCCCTTTCCTCAGGCACAGCATCTCTTGCTATCATCTCCAACCGTTGTCATAGTAATCGCACCCTGGAGTCTGCTGCCTGCGTGCGCAACATTTCTGATCGATCGCTTTTCTCTGCTCTCCTCAGCGCAAACACACACACACACACACAACTTCAAGTTCTGTCTACTACGGCTACCGTATTCCAGCTGCGTGTATGCGGTTACGTATCCGCTGCACCAGAACTGTCCACTTATCTTCTGAAGGCAAAATGTAAATAAAACTACAATAAATGGAAACAAGTGGCAGATAGGTAAGGGCGGAGAACTGAGAGCTTGGAGATAAATGTGCCTGCACTTCATTCGAGACAAGAACTGAAAGGAGGATGAAAATAGTGAACTGTAATATTGTGAGAAAATAGATTCCCTCTTTTCTGTGTGCATCACTTCATAAGACGGGGCTGCAGAGGGTTCCTTCTTTCAGTTGTGGCTTGCAATATTGGTCCCTTGCTTGCCATTCGCTATGAAGAAGTAAGAAAGACGTTAACGG